CATTATTATCACTCCACATTATCACTCCATTATTATCACTCCACCATTATTACACTCCATTATTATCACCACCGTTATCACCATTATTATCACATTACTCCATTATTATCACTCCACCATTATTATTCCTCCACCATTATCACTCCATTATTATCACACCATTATTATCACCATCATTATTATCATTCCCCATTATCATCACCATTATTATCACCACCATTATCTCCATTTATTATCACTCCACCATTATTATCACTCCACCATATTATCACTCACCATTATTATCACCATTTTGTCACGTCCACCATTTTTTTCACTCCATTATTATCACTCATATTGCTCCACCATTATATCACCACCATTATTATCACTCTCTCCCATTATTATCACTCCACCATTCTTATCACTCCCCACCATTATTACTCATTTCACTCCATTATTATCGCTCCTCCATATTATCATTCCATTATTATCACTCCATTATTATCGCTCCACCATTAATATCACTCACCATTATCTTATCACTCCACCATTTTATCACTCCATTATTATCACCTCCACCATTATTTATCGACTCCAATATTATCACCACCGTTATCACTCCACCATTATTTAAATCACCACCATTATTGCTCCACCATTATTATCACCACCCTTATTATCACTCCTTATTAACCCACCATTAATATCACCACCATTATTATCACAACCGATTATTATCACTCCACCATTATTATCATTACATCATTATTATCACTCCACCATTATTGCACTCCCATTAATATCGCTCCACCATTATTATCACTCATTATTATCTCCAGTTTTGTCACTCCAACCATTTTTATCACTCCATTATTTCACTCACCATTATTATCACTATTAAACACTCATTATATCACTCCATAATTATCACTCCATTATTATGACGCATTATTATCACTCCACCCTTATTATCACCATTATCACTTATTACTCCATTATTATCACTCCATTATTATCACACCATTATTATCACCACCATTATCACCATTATTATCACCACCATTATTATCACCACCATTATTATCACTCCATTATTATCACACAATTATTATCAACACCATTATTATCACCATTATTATCTCCACCATTATTCTCACCAACCATTATTATCACTCCATTATTATCACTCCATTATTATCACCACCATTATTATCATTCCACCATTATCATCACCATTATTATCACCATTATTATCACCACCATTATCACCATTATTATCACCACCATTACTATCACTCCACCATTATTATCACCATTATTATCACCACCATTATTATCACTCCATTATTATCACTCCATTATTATCACCACCATTATTATCATGTCCACCATTATCATCACCATTATTAAGCACCTTCTTATCACCAACATTATCACCATTATTATCACCACCATTTTATCACTCCACCATTATTATCACCATTATTATCACCACCATTATTATCACTCCACCATTATTATCACCACCATTATTATCACCATTATTATCACCACCATTATTATCACCACCATTATTATCACTTCATTATTATCACCACCATTATTATCACCATTATTATCACCGCCATTATTATCACCACAATTATTATCACCACCATTATTATCACTCCATTATTATCACCACCATTATTATCACCGCCATTTTATCACCACCATTAATAATCACCATATTATCACCACCATTAATTATCACCATTATTATCACCACCATTATTATCACCACCATTATTATCACTATTATTATCACCACCATTATTATCACCACCATGGATAATGAGAACCTTCAAAACTAGGGAGGCCAAGCCCATGATGACACTTTTCAGGTCACTTGTTCTATCTAGGCTGGAATATTGCTGCACACTAACAGCACCTTTCAAGGCAGGTGAAATTGCTGACCTAGAAAATGTACAGAGAACTTTCACGGCGCGCATAACGGAGATAAAACACCTCAATTACTGGGAGCGCTTGAGGTTCCTAAACCTGTATTCCCTGGAACGCAGGAGGGAGAGATACATGATTATATACACCTGGAAAATCCTAGAGGGACTAGTACCGAACTTGCACACGAAAATCACTACAACGAAAGTGCAAAAGACTTTGGCAGACGATGCCAACCCCCAATGAAAAATCAGGGTGTCCACAAGCACGTTAAAGAGACCATACAATAAGTGTAGGGGCCCGAGACTGTTCAACTGCCTCCCAGCACACAAAGGTGGATTACAAACAGACCCCTGGCAGTCTCAAGCTGCACTGGAACAAAGCACCTAAAGTCAGTTCCTGAACACTGGGCTGTGGCTCGTAAGTTGGTTATGCGTGCACCGGCAGCACACCTGGTTACAGGCTCTGAACCACCATGAGGCCTGGTCACAGACCGGGCCGCGGGGGCGTTGACCCCGGACTCTCCTCCAGGTAAACTCCAGGTAATATTATCACCACTCATTATTGTCATCACCGTTATTATCACTACATTATTATCACCACCATTATTATCACTCCATTATTATCACAATTATTATCACACCATTATTAATACCACCTTACTGTCACTCCACCATTATTATCACTCCTCACCACCATTATAATCACTCCTTTATTACACTCTCACCATTATTACACTCCATTATACACCACCATTATTAACAACACCATTATGATCACTCCAATATTTATCACTTCATTATTATCACTTCATTATTAACACCATTATTATCACTCCATTATCTATCCACTCCATTAATTATTCACCACCATTATTTCACTCATATTCACTCCTCACCTCCACCATTATTATCACTCCTTCCCACCATTATTATCACTCCTCATCTCCACCATTATTATCACTCCTCACCTCCACCATTATTATATCACTCACCATTAATTACCACTCCTCCACCTCCATTTATTAATCACTTCATTATTACCACTCTTCACCTCCACCATTATTACCACTCCTCACCTCCACCATTATTACCACTCCTCACCTCCACCATTATTACCACTCCTCACCTCCACCATTATTATCACTCCTCACCTCCACCAGAGGTGGATGAGGAGTGATAATAATGGTGGAGACGCCCAATTAGTGATCAAAGAAACTAATTTCCGCACACGCAAGTGCCTTGAATCAGCACTGATCGCTGTTTCGAATACCATTAAACAAAACAACGGCAGCTTCACCATCTCCGAAGTCTTAGCAAGAATCCTCCTGAAAACAGTAAACCCTGCCATCACATAGTCTCTCCTGTTATACTACACAAAGCATAGAGAGTCAACACTGAAACAACCTGCCTCATTCCAGTTTATATTTGTCCAACCTATTTTTATGTTACCCAAGTAATAGCTTTTATATCCTTTTACTCATGAAAGAATTAATTGCTCTACCATTTTGTATTACTTTTGTCACTCTGCTGCTGCTGCTGCTGCTGCTGCTGCTGCTGCTGCTGCTGCTGCTGCTGCTGCTGCTGCTGCTGCTGCTGCTGCTGCTGCTGCTGCTGCGCTGCTGCTGCTGCTGCGCTGCGCTGCTGCTGCTGCTGCGCTGCTGCTGCTGCTGCTGCTGCTGCTGCAGCTGCTGCTGCTGCTGCTGCTGCGCTGGGTGCGGCTGTGCGCTGCTGGCTGCTGTGCTGCTGCTGCTGCTGCTGCTGCTGCTGCTGCTGCTGCTTTCTGCTGCTGCTGCTGCTTGCTGCTGCGCGGCTGCTGCTGCTGCTGCTGCTGCTTGCTCGCTGCTGCTGCTCGCTGCTGCTGCTGCTGGGAGCTGCTGCTGCTGCTGCGCTTTCTGCTGCTGCTGCTGCTGCTGCTGCGCTGCTGCTGCAGCTGCTGCTGGGTGCTCTGCTGCTGCCGCTGCCGCGCCGCTGCCGCTGCCGCTGCCGCTGCCGCTGCCGCTGCCGGCGCGCCGCCCCGCCGCTAACCCTTTCCCCCCCCTTGAACCCTTTGGGGCCCCCCTGTTTCACCCCCCTGAACCCTTTTTTCCCTGGCCTGTTTGTTTGTTGGGTTGGTTTTTGGGGCGAAACGTGGGCCAAAAAAGCACTTGTTTACTGTGCCCTTTTCCCACTTTCTTCCCACCTAAATATTATCACTCCTACCCCATTTTATCATATTTTACCCCCCCTCCCCCACCTT